GATATGTAAGCTAGACAGGGCTCGACTAAGGGGTGGGCGAGCCAGGCAGCCGCCCGGGGCGCCATCCTATGGGGAGCAGTAAAACATCCCGGGTTGACCCATGGAACTCAGTAGAGCGGTGGCTGCTTCGCCCAGATGCATCCCGCCTGCAGCCCCAGCTCCTGCCCTGAGACTCCGCAGCTCCTGAGGGGTGGTGAATTAAAGGTGAGGGTGCTGCCAGAGCCTCAGTTTTTCTTCTGTTTAGCCCCCCTAGGCTCCTACCAGCCGATCAGGGCAGGGGCTTTCCCTCTCTCTGCTTCTTAGACTCAGCCCATGTGGAGCGTGGTGCACCTGGGCTGAGTGCCAGGGCCAGCTGGCCGGGAAGCCGCTCCTCTTTCCTCCAGCCCAACTGCCCTGTGCTCAGCCCGGGGAAGCTGTGTCATGCTCCTGCTGATCGGGAAGCCCTTCTTCTTTTGCCCCAGCTCAGGCGCAGCATCCCCGGGCTAAGCACAGTGCAGCTGGGCTGGAGAGCAAAGAGGAGCGGCTGCCCGGCCAGCCCAGGTGCACCATGCTCCATGTGGAGCAGAGGGAAAGCTCCCCCATTGGCTGGAGCGGGGTGCCACCTCTGCTGTACACCGCGGCCAGATGATCAGGCAGCTTCCCCTCGGAACCTCCAGACCAGCCCACATTGGAGCGATGCACCTCGATTTAAAACCACGGGCAGCTGGCAGGGCAGCAGCTCCTCTTTGGTTCAAGCCCAGCTGCCCCGCGCTCAGCCCGGGGAGGCTGCACCGCACTCCAGCTGGGCTGGAGAAAGAGGGAGGGCTTCCCGATCAGCTGGAGCGCAGTGTAGCTTCCCTGGGCAGAGCGCAGCCAGGGCAGCGGGGCTGGAGGAAAGAGGAGGGCTGCCTGGCCAGCTGGCTATGGTGTTGTTCAGCCTAGGTGAACCCTCCCCTGTGGGAGGGGGGAGTTGGCCCCATAGGAGGCGCCCACTTGGGCTTCCCTGCTCCATGGGGGAAGTGGAGAAAAGTCCTCGGAGGAGGCAGGTGCAGGGCACTCCCTGCCCACACCTCAGAATCCTGTGCCCTTGCCCCCCCAACACTCTGTCCCAGCACCACTAACACCCTGTCCCAGTACTACATGACTTGCTCCCAGCAGCACAGTTGGGGCCACATTAGTGAGGCTTGGGAGTTTTGGGAGGAGGTCTTTTTGCATCTCCCTTGTGTGGCCCCAACTGACTTTTCTGTGGGTCAGTGACCCCTGACTCAAAAAGGTTCCCTGCCCTTCTCATAAATAAAGACAATGCAGAAACTTTTTGTTTTTGACCTAGTCTTAAAAATGAAGCCTGGCCAACAAACCCCCAATTGGGGCCAAGCCCCCATCTGGCCACAGCATTATAATACTCCTGCACCTCCCAGACTCTAGATCTGAAACTATCATACACTTCTGCAACCCTCTGCCCTGAGCCCCTCACATACCCCAACCCAAAGTCCTGCTCCCTCACATCCACAAGCCTGTGGCTTTCTTTGTAGACCCCCCCTCCCTGAGCCAGCATCCCCTTCACCTCCTCCTGCATCCAGATTTTCTCCCAGAGCTTGTGCCTCTCACCCCTTCCCACACCCAAATCCCTCATTCCCACCCCAGAGTCTACACATCCTGTCTCAACCCAGTGAGGGTACAGTTAAGACTGCAGGAGTTTTTCCAGGATTCCAGAGAGATGCCAGAAAAACTCTTCTGCATCCAGGGACATGTTTGTTCTTCCATTTTTTTTTAGTGAAAGAGCAAACATGCTCTTTTGGCAAGCCCTGTATTCCTCGTTCCATGAGGAATAAGAAGGCTACCAAAAGAAGGGCTTTTTCTGACAATTGGTCCAGTCTAGATAGGCTAAATGTTGGAAAAATCTTTTCCTACAGAAGAATTGGAAAAAAAGCAGCAGTGTAGAGTGTATAAGGGCTGGGGATAGCTAATGATGGAGAGGAGGAGAACAGAGAGGACAGGGCTTCAAGGAAGAGGAGGTGGGGCCTTGTGGGAGGGTTGGGGCAGTAGATCTTCGCTTGTTCTGAGATTTAAAAAGTGATCTTGAGTGTAAAAAGTTTGGAGACCACTGCACTAGAGTTTCAAAATGTCAGTACATCATGGTTTGTTCTTTTGAATTCATTTGCCTTTTTTGTCAGAATGTTTTTGCCCAAGGTGTCTAATGCAATTTGCTAGATATACTGTTGTCTCGGTTTGATGTATTAAGAGTAGTGCAGGTGCACAACTCAACATTTTCAATGAAACAGAACTGTAATTTCTAAGCATTGAAATTCTGAAACTGAATAATCTATGGCGTAGTGCTTTTTACCATACATGAGTAATTTATTTTATCATGTAAATTTTAATCCCTTTGGGTATGCCTACACTACCCTCCTAGTTCGAACTAGGAGGGTAATGTAGGCATACCGCACTTGCAAATGAAGCCCGGGATTTGAATTTCCCGGGCTTCATTTGCATAAGCGGGGAGCCGCCATTTTTAAAACCCCGCTCGTTCGAACCCCGTGCAGCGCGGCTACACGGGGC